CGAAAATTTGTTGTTTTGTAATTTAAATAAGGGAAAGTTATTATACATGGTTAAAAAAAAGTGAGACAATCAATTATTTGAAATTTTATTATGACAAAAAAAAAATATATATTTTGAGATTAAATTTCGGTCTTGTCAAAATATTCTTCTTTAGCCTTGATTTCTGCAGCACAAGATTTTGGCATTTCTTGCAAAAGTTTCTCCGAGTATAAATTTGATAACTGATTCCATTCTTTTTTCAGTGATCTATAGATAGATAGATAGATAGATAGATAGATAGATAGATAGATAGATAGATGGCCTGAGGGTGGCGTTTAGCACGGAACAGACATTCGACTCTGGGTGTTTTGACACTGTCCATTTATATATATATATATATATATATATATATATTACGATAAACGTGCAATCAATTTACAAATTCATGAATTATTCACACAAAAACTAATGCAAAGGTTAATGAATAAGACTTTTGGATAATAAGTGCGACATTACTGTAATTATTGAACAATATAGTTCATGCCACTTTGACAGAAAATTTACCAGTAAAAAATTCGTTCATCACCATATATGAACGCACAACTTTTAAAAATTTAAAATCAAACTCAGCGTTGCTACTGCGCGCTCCAAAAACAATAATAGCATTTTCGGATACAACAATACATATATTTTCGTTGTCCTCTTATTACTAAGAGAAAAAACAAGAACAACATCTATTCTATACCTGAAGATGTCTGTAGGAACAGACGAAAGCTTGTAGTAAAAATAAGAACTAATACGGCAGAAATTTATATAAACAAGGATCATTTCATTCATAACGGATTCGGAGGTTTTTGTATATTATTTGAATTGTTTGCGATGATGGATTTCTCGCCAATTAAATCATTAACCTTTGCATTAGTTTTTGTGTGAATAATTCATGAATATATATATATATGTGTGTGTGTGTGTGTGTGTGTGTGTGTGTGTGTGTGTGTGTGTGTGTGTGTGTGTGTGCGCGTGCGTGTGCGTGAGTATAAAAATTACCGATAGAGTACACCTTCAAAAGGCCAATATGAATAAAGACAAAAGGAAAACTTATACGTATTGAATAATATATATATATATATATATATATATATATATATATATATATATATATATATATAATTATTTATTTAAAAATATGATTCCAAATCGCTACATAAGAGGTCTCATGTTTCAAAACAAGAGCCGAAAACTTCAATATAATCCTTTTAAATTAAATTGAGTTGAAATTAAAAAGGGCTCCGTTCCATCTTCAAGCGAATTTTTTGTTGGAATAACGTATATCTGAAATTTACTTGTTTTAAAAGTTGAAATCAAAATCACCATGGTAACAGTTAGGGCGAATTGTCTAAAATGGGTAGGCGAGTGTAGGGTGTTAATGATGAGTGGCGGTATAGAGATACTTTCAAGGTGTCAAGTCGGGGGAAGGTGGGGGTGTTAAAAAGAAACGAAGATGTATTAAGCTTTCGTCAAGTTGGCTTGTCTATGGAGATTTATTTATTTATTTTATTTTATTTTATTATGAAAGGGAATTGTGCTTATAAAAAGAAAAACTTTCGTGGCGTTTGTTTTTTGACGACTTCATAAAGGGTTATCTTTTTAGGTAAGGTATTTAAACTACTAATTTGGGCTATGGATTATGAAGGGTGTTATGGTGTATGCAAGTTTTAGTTAATAATTTCTACTATGAATCTGATGATTGGGTTATGTTAAACAAGTTATATAATTTTTTTTTTTTTTTTCAAACCAAAATCTGATGATGCCTACAAAAACCGTTAACTCGTGTCTATTATTTAATAGATTATTATTATTTAAGTTTAATAATGTGTAATTTTTTCATGGAGGCAAAAGGGCATGGGTCATCCCAAGCCTTACATATTCTAGCCTTGTCAATAATTTTCCATTTAACTTTTGGTGTCTTATTTGTTTCCTTCAAGTGCCAAAAATATTTTGATAGTGAAGTCTGGTTTCTTTTGTTTATATTATTAAAGGAGCACTTATGCTGCCTCCATCTATCTTTAAAATTATTCTTCGTGGACCCAATGTATATCATATTAGTGCTAGGACTCTCTGTGGATGAAATAGTACATTGGTATACCACAGAGTTAATACAACATATATTTTCTAATGGGCAGTCTTCTGGGTTTCTACAGTTACATAATTTTCCTATTATCATCTGATTTAAGTGTAGAGTTTTTATTAATACTGTTTTGGCATGGGGGTTTGTTCAAGATCTTATTATTGTGTTTTTTTTATTATGCGTTCAAGATTATCAGAGCAGCTGTAGCTCAATTTTAGGGTGTTCTTATTGAATATATTACTAAGCTTACTATTGGTGGGGAAGTGTTTATTAATTAGAGCTAAGAATTTCTGTCCTAGTTTAATACTAACCCTTTGGTTGAACGGAGGGGTGTACCATATGATATTTCTTTTCCTGTTTTTTTTTTCCCATGTCGGTGCAATTTTTCTCTGTAGTTAATGTAACATTAATGTTAACATTAACATTAATGTACATTAACTACAGAGAAAATTGATTTCAACTTTTAAAACAAGTAAATTTCAGATATACGTTATTCCAACAAAAAAATTCGCTTGAAGATGGAATGGAGCCCTTTTTAATTTCAACTCAATTTAATTTAAAGGATTATATTGAAGTTTTCGGCTCCTGTTTTGAAACATGAGACCTCTTATGTAGCGATTTGGAATCATATTTTTAAATAAATAATTATATTTATGCTCTACTTTTGTATCGAGCACTATTTTTTAAAAATAATAACAAAAATACTAAGGAACTTTGGATTTTCTAACCAGTTCCTTCCTATTTTCTATATATTTATATATATATATATATATATATATATATATATATATATATATATATATATAAATTAGGACTTTAGTCGATTTTCGCTGCCATGGTTTCAACCTTTCGGTATCGTCAGGCGGTTGTATCAATTAAATTCCCAACGCTTTAATTTTTTTAATTATTAATGAACGCTATATTATTTTAAAAAATAAATAAACAAACGCTCAGCGTTGGGTATGATAGAAGGGAGGTGACGGATGCGAAGTAGAAGGATAAAAGAAGGAGGAAGAGGAGAAAAGAAAAGATAATTTAAACGTATCGCTGGGGGGTTAATGAAATGTACATATTTTTTATCCAGCCTCATATGAAATTAATTTTTTTGAAATTAATTTTTTTTTTTTGTTTGTATGGATGCATGATTCATAACTTCAGGCTTTAATGCAAAAGGTTTTTTTTGTTCTGGAAATAACATTATTGCTAACTTTTCTTGTTGGCACAGATGTTGTTATGTTTGTTGTAGGTTTCGTTTTTTTTTTTTAATTTTCCAGTTATATATATTATATAGTTAGATCTTTGTTGCTTTTTTTCTTTTAATTTCCACTCATGGTTAGCTAGTCTGGTAGTACACACACACACACACACACACATATATATATATATATATATATATATATATATATATATATATAAAGAGTGGCTGCTGTTGCTAACGCAATTCTCTTCAACTAGAATCGAGCTTTCCTTCAAATGCCTTGTGGAGGTAGTGCTGCCCTGGGTCAAGAGGGCGGTGGCTGGAAGACCCTATGTCTTGCAACAGGACTCTGCACCATGCCACACAAGCATAAGAATCCAGTCATGGCTGTCAGACAATTTCTGCCACCACATCACGCCTGACATCTGGCCACCTAACTCCGCAGACTGCAACAAACCCCGTGATTATTATGTGTGGGACGCAGTTGAGCGAGAGACCAGCAAAAAACCTTGTAACACCAAAGATGAACTGAAGGCAAAGATTATAGCAGTATTCACTAATTTAAACAAGGAAATCGTCTAGAAGAATTGAAGTAGTCGCTCCATTTCTAGTCAGTTGAAAACATGAGGTCAAGAAACCGTTGTGTGTTGTTCTCCAGGAGTCGAGTGTCAGTTTAGTTAAAGAATTGTTCAGTTTTTTTGCACTTCTAACACCGGTTGATTGTTCCGCAAAATAAATTCCATTTACTAAAGGTAAACAAAAAGTAAAAAAATTAAACAGACAGTCACACATTGTAGATTTGTCAAACATTTCCATCTCGATGAAAAGATGTAGTTCACCTGATAAATACGTTAACAAAAATATACCTGTCTCGTTTAAAACCTTTCGTGAAAAAATAAAATAAATAAAACTAAACTTCTTTGTACACCTGAGCTAACTGACCCCATGCAAAACGCCTAGAAGAATCTGTTGCCGTTTGTGACGGGAGTAGACGCTGTCTTAATTGGATCTGTGGTTAGATATTCCCAGCACTGCAAGTAATAACAAACACAGTATAAACTGTATTAAAAGTATTTTTATAAATCGATTCACCCGTAATGTGATTCATGCGACAGGACGGACGCTGGATGAACATGACTTACTTGAATACCAGCCCTGCCCGCAACTGGCCAAGTTCGTACGCACAAACACAAAAGTTCATCTCTACAAACTCGAAACTGCGACTTACGATTGCATAACAGCGGAGATCGCAAGACAAACAAACCTTTGCGAACATTCTCTGTGTTTAATGGCCGAAGATACACAAGCGATTTGACGGGATTTCAACGACTCTGTCTTCCTCCTAAATCTCTCTCATTATTTTATTACCCATTACGGCCATAGTCACTTTTTTATTTTTTTAATTCTAGATTCTTGTATTGACATAATTTCTTTTCTTGTTCTTTTAAGGGGTTGATGGCAGTTGGAATGGGAGTGGAGATTTTACTTGTTTATTTCTAACGGAGTTCGACTTTTTTATTTACCCAGATCCCTCAGCAAAGGTTTGATCTGTTGAAGCGGGAAGAGGCTAATGTGAAAGTGATTTGTGGCCCTTAGTCCAGGTAAACACGTCAGGTGACAAGCGTCATTGCGTAACAAAAGATCAGAAACGGAGGTGGTCTGCTTTTTCTTTCTATTTTGCTTTCTTTCCTTATGTTATATGCCGGTTCTCGTACGATCAGTGAAGTTAAACAACGTCAAGCTTGGTCAATACCTAGGCGGGTGACCGCTTGGGAATACCGGGTGATGTCAGATTGAAAGTGTGGATGGTGTAAGGAATAACGGATTGTAATTGGAAACTGGGGAGCCGAGTCCCAATTCCATTCGTGTTCTTTATATTCACTTACGTGCACATACATTTGGTAAAGATATGAATGCATTTCTTCTCCCTCCAGCTATGGGTTAATTAATAGGGTTGTATCAGAAAATATTTATTATCGGCAAAATAATTATTACAATCTAAAAATATGTTCTGGCTTTAAATAATCTGCACAAGGTTGATGAACTATAAAATCCAAGAAGGATTCTTACATTGTGTGTGTATATATATATATATATATATATATATATATATATATATATATATATATATATATATATATATAATGTGTGTGTGTGTCTGTGTGTGTGCAGGTATGTAGAAAAATAGGAAAGAACACTTTAGGTAAATAATCCGGGGTTCTTTAGTATTTTTGTTTTTATTTAAAAAAAAAAAAAAACAGTGCTCCATACAGAAGTAGAGCTTAAATCATAATTATTTTTTAAAAAATGCGAAGGAATCATATTTTTTTTTAAATAATTATAATATATATATATATATATATATATATATATATATATATAAACATTAGGAGATCAGCCAATCACGCTACCATGCTACTTTGGTTTCAACCTTTCCGTATCTTCAGAGCGTTATAGGCCAATTGATAATAACAAGTTAGCGTGATTAGCTGGTCTCCTATTTTTTAAATTTAAAGGCTCTGCGTGTTACATTTTTATTTTTTATTTTCTTTACATGTGTATTGCGCACTTTTTAATACAACTGTTTCTTGGTGTAATTCAACTCTGAACAATAACAGTTTTATAAATGATAATATATATATATATATATATATATATATATATATATATTATATTTTAAAAATATGGTTCCATCGCTACACAGGAATTACCGTGTTTCAAAACAGAAACTAAAATTTTAAATTTAATTATAAAATTAAATTTAAAATCCATAGCTCTGTTCCATTCTTGTTTTGGAATAACCTATTAAGAAATTTACTTCATTTATAAGCACAGACAATCTTAATATTTAAAATTGTTAAGGTTACTGAAGATTCAGTCATTTTGATAAGGGCTAGTTGGTTTTAATCTCCCTAGACAACTTATGTATGAAATATAAGTTACTTTCCAAATCTGGTTAAGTTAAGGTGGAGTAGGGGTGCCTGCTGACAAACAATGACCCTCCCTTTTTTCGCGTCTCGTCTGGGTTTTTAATGATAAAAAGTTTTTGGCATTTTTATTTGGCCGCTTAATTTATCATTTTATACACAAAGATTTCTTAAAAGGGTCGTCTGAATATGAGTAAGTCGTATATTTAATATTTAAAATCTATTCCTACACATTTAAAGTACTTTTCTACTTCTAACAACTAATAGACTATACGTTATTTTTTACAAGTAAATATATTAGAATTACATTCGTATGTTTTTTTAAATCTTTAATCAAAGATCAAGTATAAATATGTATGTTCTATCCTTTCAAAATTAATCATTAAAAAAGGAAAATATTTGATAGTGTCTGCAGAAAATAGCTATTTCATTTCTTTAATTAATTTTTGTTATTTTTCAGAAACTTATTATTGTATAATTTTTTCATGTATGCACAAAGTACATGGGTTATTTACTAACCTACATGTTCTAGCTCTTCTTATTAATATCCATTTTACTGTTGGTGTTTTGTTGGTTTCTTTTAAGTTCCAGAAATATTTAGATATGGACGTTTGATTTCTGTATTTATTATTTTTAAAGGGCATTTGATGTTGGTTCCAACATCTTTTGAAGTCATGCTTTGTGCATCCAATATAGATTTTAACTATGTCTGGATCTTCATTAGATGAAATATTGCATTGATAAATCAATGATTCCATACAACATTTATTATTGACAGGACAGTTTTGAGGATTTCTACAGTTACATAAATTTTCATTTCTTTTTTATTTTAGGATTTAGATTTTTTTATTTTACTCTAAGTGTTTACTCAATATATTAGCATTATGTTTCTAAATAATCAGTACAACAGTAACTTAATTTAAGGGTATGTTTATTAAAAATTGTACTGAGTTTACTGTCTCTAGGAAAATGTTTGTCAATTAATGCATTTTTATCCTAATTTATTTTTTACCATTTCGTTGTATATTGTGTATACCAAATAATTTTTCACTTTCTGTTTTTTCTATTGTGTCTATTTTCATTTTTTATATAATTGAGTTTTGGGTATTTATAGCTGCTATTCTTTTGAGCTTTATTATAGAAATTACTATGATCATAGAATATTTTCTCATTTGCTGAATTTGTACTTATTCTCTTTTCGATTGATAAAGGTATATGCTTAATTGTAGATGGAGAGGTGAAGATTATGAGGTTATGAAGGAAAGTTAACAGTTAAGATTAGATTCTAAAAATTTCAGATTGTAGCAATCAGGAAAGCATCCCTTTGGGAGTAGATCCACGGATCAGTGGTTCTTTACAAGAAGGTGTCCAAATGAAATTGCATTCTTACTAATGGAATACGAAGGGTTTGGGGATGATTTGACTCTGGGTGCGTGTTGCGGTGGGTCTCACCTGTGATTGGCAGAAGTAGTGGAACTAAGGAATGTAGGCCGTCTGAACATTTGCCATGGAAATAGCGATAGAATAGCGACTAGTTTGCGACGGTTCGGTCTGAGGAGGGGGTTGTTGAATGGAAAATCATTCACCAATCGTAAGGCCGTGTCGATGCATTTAAACTGTACCAAGATAATGCTGCATTGCTCCATTTTCAGTCTGATTTGGTCCTTATGTAGAGCATATCAGGACGAGTCAGGCACCTTCACACACACACACACACACACACACACACACACACACACACACACACACACATATATATATATATATATATATATATATATATATATATATATATATATTTAATTATTCGCAATAGTTCCTCTTTCACCAACTGATGTATTACATAATACCAACATTATATATCAGTTCAAATATCCCTTGGGAGAATGTATTCCCAACAAATATATATATATATATATATATATATATATATATATGGACATACAACAACTACATTATCAAGACGCCTTACTCTACACATGTCTGACTATTCGTCAATTGCGAAACATTTGTGCCAGCATTGTCCACGTCTACAGTATAGAAAAATACTGATTGATAATACAATTATCCTACACCAAGAAAATAACAAACTATAACTACAGATCCTCGAAACAATCTTCATTAAAAAAGAATTGAAGCCGACACTGAATAAAATCAGCTACGAATAATGTAATAATATTCTAAAATACCTCTAAAAAGAACAGTTTTTACGCCTTAATGCACGCCCAACTATGACATTCAAACATAAAAGAAAAAATTCCATAATAGATAAATATTCACGTTCTAATTGTATTTAATCGCAAAAGAAAAAATTCAGTAATGGATAGTTACACATCGTTTTGCCTTACCAATTTCAGCCCTGATGATGACCTCAGAAAGAGATGTAAAGTACTTGGGTAATAAAAGTGATTTTCACTGTTACAGTGCATTTCTTGCCTAATTTAATTGTAATATACGTAAAATATTCGTGGATATGAAAGGATTATGATCAAAATAAGCAGACACAACGTTTGTCAGTTATTCAATTAGACATGCCTGAAATAGAATTTGCTGCCTAAATACACAAATTTTAAATATATATGTGTGTTTGTGTGTGTCTGTGTATTAAATATAAAATATGCTAATGATAATAACATTAGGGAGCCTAATGTAAAGTGAAAGAACACGACATGGATCCAAAATGTAATAAAAATTATAGGAACACTTGGAAAATGTATCTTTCCGCAACTGGCAGTTTCATGTTATCCGCAATCTTCAGGCAGAAAACAACACAAGAGGAATTTTATATTAGCTCTTTTGATTCTTATGTTGTATATGTATGTGGGGGCTGCAAATTACGTTGGAAACGACTAACAAGTTCCTGTGGTTAAGTATGTTATATAATTTTTCATGTGTTTGTAAAATCTTTCTCTTTTCAGGACATAAATTATATAAAAATTGGAAAATAAAATATTCCTATAACTCTAGATATATGCATAAAACAATCCATATATTCAGTTAAAAATAAAATAAAATTCCTTTATGATAATGGCTAAAAGTATAGACAATGTATAGTCGCTTGGAAAACATTTGAACAATTTTATATAATTTATGTCCCGAAAATAAAAAATATACGAACACATGAGAAATTATATAAAAAAAAACTTTGCACTTTATCAGTCGTTTAAAAAAAAAACTTGCATAAAAGATGGATTGCTGCCGAAATAAACAAATATATATATATATATATATATATATATATATATAGATAGATAGATAGATAGATAGATAGATAGATAGATAGATATGATAAAAATATAGTGTTAAGGTATGCTATATTTATGGATTAAAGGGCGCAGTATCAAGGATGGAGCGTATGTATATGTAAATGTGGATATATGCATATCTAAAAGTCAACACCCAACGGTGACAGTCTGTTTCATGCTTAAACGCAATCGTTTCCACAGAAATAGCCCCCAAAAATAATTCGAAACATAACCAATTACCACCCACCCAAATAACCGTTAGAATAATACAATAAGCTTATCGATAATGCACCACTGACCGGTATATATAAATAGTCGAGCAAAAACACAACGCACATGGCCAGAGGATTGCGTTTAAGCATGTAACAGACTGACTTTGCTGGGTGTTGACTTCAATGTCCATATATATATATATATATATATATATATATATATATATATAACAATTTACTAAGGCGAAAGCTATAGAAAGTGATTTGATCGCTAGAACATCTACGGTAATTTTACGTCCAGGTTGTCGGGCTTCTTGCGTAAGTTAAACAACGTCGAGGCTGGTCGGTACTTACATTGAGAATCGTTTAGAAACGCCCTGTCCTGTATGCAGTAGAGGAGGACATAT